GAGAATTCCATTGAGGCGTAAAAGGCAAAAAACGAGACACAATACTGGTTTATCCTTGTATGTCACCAAGATTACCTCTAGTGAAGTATCACACAACTCCGTAGAATGAAACTCTACATTAAATCCTTTCCGTTCGCCATTGTACACCGAGCTTGTAAATTGGCTTATAAACGTCTTGTCATCATGTGTGAGGCCATCTTCAGTGAATGGTTCGTTCGCCAATCGCTTAACTTTTGCTTGCGTTTATATAGTTTCTGAAGAGTAGTTAATAACTGCGACGGGGTTGGTTGTTTGGAGGCCGATCAGTATACAATCCGATTGGTCATTTTGGTCATTCTGTTTGCGTCCCCGTCTGACATCGCGTTTATCGAATTCTCTTGAGAAACTACACAAACGCAAGCATCAGTGACTGACTTACCAACGCAACTGCACACCAATGAGGACTTCTTGCATGGTGACAAAATTTTGCAGGCTAATCAACAAGCTCGACGAAGAGGTCAACTGTTATCTGGCCAACGGCCAATGACCTTACTCGAGCTAACAGTATTTTGACTTACTGTGGATTCTAATTGTATTCGAAAAAATTTCGTGAAACAGAACAAAACAAAAACAAAAAACGTCTATTTTTCCAGAGTTGTTTTCAGTATACAACACTACAACTTTCTTCCAGTTTGGTTTACAAATTAGCGTCTACTCTTCGTTTCATCAGGCTAGTGACAAGACCAGTGCCTTCTCTAGTGCTATGTTGAAGGGCTTCAGAACTGCAGCATCCTTTTTAGGTCACCACTGTACTGTTTGGGGCTTCCTTAAGACGAGTGAGTCATCTCTCTAGTACCATACCCACTGCGATCAATCAACAGAACTGAAGTTTTGTTGATAAACTACAAAGTGCTTGCAGACTGTTGCAAACACCCTCAGTGGATCAATCCACCGGGCTACATGCCGTTGTGACTGCTACTTCCCTCTCTTCTGTTCCTCCTGTAAGTTCTCATTGTTTGCCACAAAAGTGCGCCGCTACATGCCGGACTGCTACCTCCCTCTCTTCTGTTCCTCCTGTAAGTGCTCATTGTTCGCCACAAAAGTGCGTCCATTCACACGTTATTTATGAATCAATCATGCTGACTCAGCCAATAGGAAAACAAAGGCCGAATTTCCCACAGCGATACCCATTAAAAACCAGATTTCAAGCATGATGTGCTTACAAGTCTAGTCTCTTGATGAATTCATACTGAAGCAAGAAGGCTACTTACTAGAGCAAGGACCAGATTGGCTGGTCTAGAAATAGGCAGAAGTCCGGTCCATATAGCAAGCGTAGCCGCGCCATATTGGCATACCCTTGCCGTCGTGGAATGCCTCTCGGTCCTCCTGTCCAGTGGAAAATCTGGTTGCTGAAACCGTTCCAGTGGTGGGCATGCCGTCACCTCCTATTCGGACTGCCCAGCTAGAGTTTTCTTCCGTCATATTATGGTGGGCACATGTCGAGTGGGGCTTGCAAACGATGCGGATGCGCTTTCTTTTTGCTGGTCAGCAAGCTATGGGTATCTTGTTCTTGAGTTTTATTCAGGATGTCATGGGGTTATTCGGGTATTCCTCCTCACAGCTGTGTGGCAGCTGAGCGCCAGATGATGTTGACGATATTGTTAATCTGTTCAGCGATCATTATGCAACTTATCGGCAAAGCCACTGTAAGGAACAGTTGCTAGTCTCTTAAGTGGATAACGTTGGCTTATTTGCGTGCAACCGACGGCTTCGGTCAGATTACATTATCATCCCATCCGTTTACATCACCATGGCATGGAGTCGCTTAAATATTTCAACGGGATTATCCAGACAATCCCAAACACTAAGGTTGCCAAGGGCCACAAAGGGGAGCGACGTGATAGCTGCAGACTTGACTGAACCATACCGTCAATAAAGCGTGAGTTACTGCTAAATCTCAGCTACCATCGCAATCAGCTCCACTAGTAACAACTTAATGGTCTTCTAATCTTCAAGTCAAAACTTCCTGGAAAAGTCAGGCTCAATCCACCCATTTTGTTCGTTTGTCGGATGCCAATTTATGGTTCACACCTCACGTTATTCTGGGGGAACTTTATGCACCTGATGTACCTACAAACTGCGAAATAGAAACCGAATCAACAGCGGATCATAGTCGTTATACAATAGGCCACTCACTGTTTCAGGACGTATGCTTTGGTTCCCATAAAAATTAAAAACCAACCGCCAGTTAAGCAGAGTTTGTCATTTTCGTTCATATTTGGATGTCTCAAAAGCTCACCCAGAAGTTATCCTGTCCAGAGTTTGTGCACAGTCTATCGTCTAAACATAGAGGAACCTGAATCAAATGCTACGGTTGTTTCGTTCCTGCACAGTGAGACGTCCCCCCCCACCCAAATGTCTGAAACTGCAACGGATGGATCTGCTGGTAATTTTGGGAAAATTCTCGGAACTTTCGTCCGATGGCTAAAGCCGAGAAGCACACGGTGGCTGTTTCATCCTTATTGGGAACCATCAGTAATGTGCGTCTCAAGAATAGCCAGTGGAGAATCTTTGACCTGCGACCTCCGGGTTATTAGTTCGGACATTTCACCGTTGGGCCACAGTTGGCTGCTCGAGGACAGAATCCTCGTTAATCGGCGAAATTATTTTCATATACCACTATTTTGATGAGCGAAAGTCTAATCTGGCCGAGGGAAAAGAAACGTGACTAGAGGAATATAAATATTTTACTGGATTAATGTTCGTCGAATCAGTAGCATATCAGTCTTATGCCTCAGACGGCTGGTATACTTTCCAGCTACACCGACCCTATTGGCAAGCAGCACTGTAATTATATGGGGCTTTTGCAAGGAACTCGTCTTGCGTTCGTAATTTATTTCATGGCATCATACTACTGAATGAAATACGAGTAGCAAGAAGAAAACAAAATCCCAGGCACCAGCTCACCGCATCAAATTCCAGCTCGCCCAGCATCATCACCGTAGTTTTAAGGAATGAATTGCCCAAAGAATTGAATGGGACATGATTGAACAACAGTATGTGAAATCCGAATGCGAAAGCGAAGATGAATAGAAAGAATACGACAAAAAATTTTGTGAAGGTACGCATGACGACGGTGAACATGAGGACGAAGATACCCAGGGTCGGTATTCGACGGAGAAACAACAGTAGATTGAGCCAAGCGAAAAATATCCCGACCGCTCCACACTGCCACTGCCAACTCTAAAACATAAGGGGTATAGGAAATGTATGCACGCTGATGTCCAAGAACAAGACCGAAACAGTGTTTAGTTTGACCTCTGACATTCACATCAGGTACCCACGTTATAATTTCTGTACAAATTTAATAAACGTCCGAAATATTCCGATAAGAATGTATCCCAGTAATCCGCCTAATGATGCATAGGATTAACGAAGGGATTCAGGATTGTTCCGACAAACCGCCGCAGCTACCGCATTGGTGCTGCGCGAACCGACAGTCGCCCAGACAGATATAGACCACATGACTATTTGACTACTGGTCGGCGAACAGTAGTACGAATTAACTGAGGTTTGATTACTCTTCCCTGTAGACCAGCTGAGCTGGCAGCTAGGAATTGCCAATGCGTTTTCCCAACATCTAAAACCGCAATCGTTTTCTTGTTAATCGTGACCACCGGCTTCCTTCAGTTTTGGAGAACGTTACCGTGAGACAAACCTGAAAGGACAAAACGAACGGAGCTAAATGTGATTCAGATCCACAGTACAGGTAACAAAGCACGCGGTCGTTTCAACCAAATGCTCTTATTACGAACAAAGAAAACTACTCAGAAGGTTGCTGAAGACTTCTCGACAGCTCACGACTTGTTTTACCCTACTTCTGGCTCATCAGATAGGGCAGTCCCCAAGTTTCCGTCATGTTCCCCTTGATCCCAGATTTAAACAAATGCACTCATTTGTATGTCGATTTAGTTTTGACGGGATACCCGACTGAATCTTTGGATTATAATTAACTATGCGTAATTTCCTCGACGGAAACGTACTGGATTGCTGGTAAAGAAAGCGGCATGGCGAGAAGTATTCCAAAGAAAAATAGTCTTTGACATCCGTTTTCAAAAGCATTTCCGTCCACCGCTTTCGGATCACCAACCAGTGTACCGAACATCGTTCTCTGTCAGTGCAACAAACCCATTAGAAGACACAGCAATAACGAAACAGCCATTTGCAAAAACTGGATTGTGTTCAAAATTCTCCGCGCCCTGTTTGAATAATTCATATTAAGCAAAAAACCGTTTCCAACTTAAATGTCTGATAACTGCAGGGGTAGTAGCTCAAAACGCAAAGAGATACTACTCTGAGCTCGCAGTAGAAATGCACGTCGGTGACAAAGTAATCTGCGATTCACGACATTTCCGGTCTTTTTCAAGGAATGTCATTGGTTTTGACATTTGTCCCATGAAACTCGCGGTCTCGTACACTGCGGTTGATGAGATAACACTGCGCTCCATAATAAACGAGTTATGTTGCGGTAGAGTACTGCCTTTGTGCTGCATTTCACGGCTGAATTCGGTCACTCAATTGTCATACGGACCAGGAAAGTTTGCTGTTCTACCGAAACAATGGGCGACCGAAATCGGGCGCCTAAGTAAGGGGTGGTTCTTGTGGGGAGGTTGCCTATTTCAGTCATATTTAGACTATTTCTAGGTCCTACTGTGGCCTTCTCCAACAGACTTATTAAATATCGTAACGGTGTCATTGGAGATTTTCTCTAACCGTACGGGTACCAGAAAACGTCCACCATGAAGACACTGACGATTCATACCAAATTTTCGCAACCTCCCTAGACAACACAGCTTACATGCCAGACGTCTCTGAACTTGCTCAATTTGCTGATGGGAGATTCCAGTTTTTAGTTCCAACTACCCATTCTATACTGGAGTTGTCTGCATTCCACGTGTATATTCACACTTTTCAGTTTCGAGTTCTACCGGAATACTGGATGGGTGGTTGATCTGGGTTGTTAAACGACCCGCCAAACTTGGTATTTAATCGAAAAAATTGTTCAGCTGTAACACCCTCTTAGTGCCTAACTGCCATGCCACCCGAAGAAAGCACGAGGGCTGGGATACTGCCAGGTTGCCCAAGCTTAGACAGGGGAAGTCGAGTGGCGGAGGTCGGATTCGAACCACGAACCTTCCGGTCAGTAAATTCGCGCTCTAACCACTTGGGCCATGTTGGCATCTAGTTTGCAAAAGTTTCGTTGCCAACCAAACGTGCATCACCAACGTACGATGACGATGTCCCACAAAAATTTGGAAATAACGTATCTATTATGACAGGCCTACACGGCTGATTGTCTCACGTTTTACAAAACTCGACATCCTCAGAATGGGTTCAGGCCCCGTTAACCCATAAAAGCGGCCTCGATCGCCTCGGAACTTTGTTGTAGGAACACCGAGAGATAGGTCATTTGGACTTTCAGCGTTTATATCGCGAGCCCAAGCGAACATGCACTCAGCAGGTGGGCATTAGGAGACCGAATGTGCCCAGAATTTTGTTTTGATAGGCACGGTCCAAAAGTTGGCCCCGGGTGGTCTGCGACTGATGAGCTCCAGTTGATAGCAGACTGCATCGAGCTAGGTTCCAATGTTTTCATTGTTCTGTGGCATCGTTTCATACCTCCACTACTTGCGGTAAAACACCATCAAGTCGATCAGAACATGTATTGAAAATTGCGCGATACATTTTGCCAGCCGGAATGTGATTTTTCCACCCTATGCGTATTCTATTCTGTTGTATCTGCTGACTCGCCAGTCTGAGGTATCTGCTGCTGACGCGCTCCAGTGCCTAGTTTTGGAGAGAAAAGACTCACGGAGAGGAACACAACAGCTATGTTCCAACAAAGCGGGTGCGAGAGCGTGAGTGCGTGCGAGTGCGAATGTACAACGGTCTCAAGCTATTTATTGGAGGACACTGTCTGAACTCGGTCCAATGCTGACGCACACGGTCTGGCTTAGACGTGCTGCATATTGCGGGGGCGTTGTCTGACCTTCATCAACGCTTGCTCGCGCTGTCTGGGTTTGATACAAGGCTGTGACGCGTTGCATATTGAGGGGCGTTGTCTGTCCGGTCAGCATCTTGCGGAGCTGGATGTCTCAGTAGATTTCAGACATTCAGTGGTTGCTTTCGGGCATCTGACCTTCCCGATAAGAGCAAGTTCACCCATTCGCGTTACCCTGAGGCAACTCAGTACGAATTGGACTATGAATCTGAGACATACACAGCCATGACATAAGGATCAAATATAATGACAGGTGGTGGGGTGCTAGCGAAGACTTCACCTATTCTGGATTAGTTTGTCGGAGCCTATCTTCTTTCATCTGTTTAACCAGATCCCATTAGTGGTAACATCACTTTTGTGGTCTCTGCAACTCACTTTCTAAGCATTTGTACTTCCTGAATCCCGATATTTTATTGGAATTAACTTTTCTTTACCATGAAACTAGCAGTGACGCGCTTATCGTGTGAGTACTCCATGACTCACACCCAGTCTGGACCAGTTCCACGTTGCTACCTTGAAGTCCTCAGGCATAAGCTGCAAAACTAATGAGAACTTCACATCTAGCATATCTGAATGTCATCCAAATTTCACCACAAAAATAAAAAAGAACTGGAGGAAACTGAAGGTTTCGGGGAAACTCTGGATTTCGTGGGGGCAAAAGCTCAAACGTCCGCTACGGTGGACAAAAAACAACTTTGGTCCTTACCTTCTTCAGGCCCATGCTTCGGAGGCAGTCATCCGTGTCGACCACCGACAGAATGGCCAAAGTGAAGATACCACATTCCATTAGATTCTCCAAGGTCAAATAACGATATCCACTGAACATAAATTGGAACAGCTAAAAGGGAGCATAGATGTACCACAATAATTTCAGTGATTCACAGGTGGGACGTGAGGCAGGGTTCAGAAAATTGAATGAGTCTCTTTCGCTGCTTACTATGCACCGGATGTCAGACGTTCAGTTCGAACGACCTTGGGGCTCAATGTATGGGAGAAAAAACAGTGCATCACCCTGTGTTCTAGTGGATAGCTGGACTCGTTGGTCTGATGGCTCAGCCCAGCAAAACTCATGCCTTCAAAATGGCCCAATCACTTTCTTGAGTATGCGTGTGTGTGTGTGTGTGAGCGTGCGCGTGCGTGCGTGCGTGCGAACTTGTTTGCGTTCAGGCGCGTGCACGTCCAGACCCGTGTGCATGCGCGCGGGTGTGTACGCACTTTCATACTAGCTCATCTCGACGAAAAGTGAGGGCTAACAATGGTGGTGTTGGATTTCGCGAGACCCTGATGAAGATCACAACATACACTGGTGCCAAATGGTAGCATATCGAATGAAAATATGAACTTCCAAGAGATAAAAGTGAGTCCTACCCTGGACAGCCATTTACGATTGTCCTGCAAGCAGGTACCTCGGTGGGCTTACGAATATACGTCAGCTATTCGTCTAATCGATGCACCGTGTGTGTAAGTTCTTGGTGTAGATAACTGCCTTAGGCACATTAAATCTGCTCTTGGAGATTAGGAAAGAATAGACAAATATGCAGTTCCGTACGAACCACTCATGCGCTCTTAAATTGTGGGTTCTACGGCTAAGTGCTTAACTGACACGGAACATAGTTCGGTAATTGAGTGATGTACCTCGAAGCTAGATGGTTACATCGTCCCATGCATGTCTCCTGTGTTCAGGAGAGCTTCATAATGACTGTGAGCCCGCTCTTGGCTCACAGATCCTTCGAGTTGTTTTTTTTACATGAAAGAACTGGAATACACTTTCAGTCTTGCATAGTTTTGCACGTTTCGGAACGAAGTGAACTGGCAGATGGGTTCGTATTGATCGCAGTAATCACACTGCTTTCAGCCTCTCAAACGAAACGGCCATTATCGTAGAAAAAGGCACGTTCCTACATTCTCGACCAGTTGTTTACCATCCAAGATGTCTTGTGTTAAAGTTACCATCGACTCTGAAAACGTAGGCATCGACATTTCTGAAAAAAACGCGGTCATGCCGGGACACGATATCTCATATAAAGTCCTATTGGTTCGAAAATCATATTCTGACACACCTTTGCTGATGACCTCGACAAAGAAGTTCTCCCCAAGCGAGACTGCAGGTATGATTGAGCTGAAAAACTGAGCACAAGGAAACACAAATAGATCAACTCACTTCTTTTCCCAGATTCAGCAGCGCAAAGCAGAGCACTGCATACTTTGAAGCGAGCAAGTAACTCGTTTTGGTTGATGCCAAGGCCCCTGGGGTTGAGATTCGACGGCAAAATGTTTGTGAAGTCAGCCGTGACGTGTTTGCACTGTCAGAGGTACGAACAAATAAGTCATGGATATCGCTTTTCTGTATAAGACGTAAAATTGAATCAGCTCTCCACTCTCTACTCAAAATATTGGTAGGTCGGATAAGTTTATTGGTTGTTGATCTGTTCAGCGTGCTTGCCGATTGTCTTGCAAAAGTTTCGTCACCATACGAGGAGACATCATCAGTTGGGTGGGTACCTCCTGTTTGCACGCGTGCGCCTATTTAGCATCTGGAGGTTATCTGTTATCCCCTAACGTGATGATGACCATGTTTTTCGCGAATTTATTTATCAGTTCGTGATCTTTGTTGCGTTGTGGTCTGTGTTTCTTCGGGCCGATTGATCAACCCAATGCCTTCTATTTTTAGTAGTTTCCTACCCCGTTTTGATTGGCCCTCTTCCTGATTTGCATGGTGTTGTGATCTGATTTCTTCCAAGAGTGATTGGCTGGCTGCATTGTCCCATGTTCTCCATTGAATTGACTGGAGACCTTGTGTCCGCCGGTCAATTCGGTAATTTGGTTTACTGACTGAGTGCCTCCTCCAATCCAAGTGATGTGTCCGTTTGGATCGGAACTCCAGCTTCTTTTACTTGTTTCTCGTTTGTTTGCCTCTGCAGTGCAAAGCTATGTGGTTCTTGCGTTCACTTGCGCTTAGCGATTGATAAGCGGTTGATTGGTGGAGGCGCCCAGTCAATAGACCAAGGCACCAAATTAATCGGCGAACGCAAGGACTCCAATCAATGCAACGGAGAAAATAGGGCGATGCAATCAGCCAGTCACTCTCAAAAAATTCAGATTACAATGCAATGCAACCGCAGAAGGGGGCC